AATGGCGTGATATCAGAGATCGATGAAACAACAGCTGTTCAAGATATTCAAGATAAAGTATCTTTGTTTTGCACATTTAGACGAAGGAAAAAAAAACACAGTGCAGGATTAATGCATTAATTTTAGATGAACGTTAAACTACGTCAAAAGATAATTTGATCAAGAATACCAAATTTAAAAAATTTACACAACAGGAAGATGTATTATGGTGTCATTTTCACATCCTGAGTGGGCCAAAAATTAATCAGTTTTAGAAGTTCAAAAATTTTATGCTCCTATTAACTATTCCTTCGCCAAATAAGCCTCTTTAGCCTTTATGAGCGAATCGGCGATCAGCTTTTGCCGCCCGACAGCTAACTCAACCATCCTCCGCATGACTGCTTCATCACCGGCCAATCCCGACTGACTGATACGGTGAATTCGTGAATTATTACCAACAACAATCACCACCGTGTTTGGGATTATTTCGAATAACTCAGGCGCCGGATCGCAAAGGATTTTTACCTGAAAAAAAAAATTCGTTAAAATTCACGACGTAAACAGTGCTTTATTGCTTAATTCAAAAACATATATCATGATAAAAATAACTGAAAAATAGGCCAATGAATTTCTCAATTTCAAAAAGAGGAATACGGCTTGAGTTAAATGATCTATCGTAGGTTATTGGTATTACTAAGAAGCATCGCGTGCAGTAATACCTTAGTAATATCACTAAGTTGGGGTGGTCTTGGTATTCTTAGTATGTTTACCCAAATTATTTAAATGTTAATAAACAACTATGACAAGACCATGACGTCCCTAACGGTTAATTGGGTGCCCAAGCTAGTGATTTTACTGGGATATTTCTATACGTCACGAAGCGGGTAATGGAGTGATACCTACGCGCGATGAAACGAACACTGGGGAGGGTCCCAGCACGATGGCGAGATCCAATCGTGCGCTTTTATGGTGTCACCTGGTCTCGTCAGGCTCAGGATCGATCGAAATGGTGAAGTTGCCAGCTGCGTCGATGGCGTGACATCAGAGATCGATGAAACAACAGTTGTTCAAGGTATTCAAGGTATTTTTATACGCCAAGCAAACCTATGTGAGACTTTTCAACCTTGAGCTGTGAGCTGCACACCTCCAGTCAGTGCTGTTACCTTTTTCGCTGCATGTGCAGCAGTAACCATCTTATCTTAAAAAAATTATCTCAAAGAACTACAGTGGAGCATCAAGGACGATTACCGTTTCATCAGGAGCTTCATAAACAATAAAGGTAGATGAAACTGGAAAATCAGCGAGGACAATATGATGAGTACTGTCGCTGAGCTCAACTTTCGTGATATCAATCGGAATATCCTCGTCGCAATCAGTAGAAGCTTCACGAAGTTGCAAATCAACGAGAGCACCAACCACACAGTTACATAAGGCATCAGAGATCGCTCCATCAACACTCAATATCTAAATGTGCGTTCGAGTTCATTTGCCAAAAACAAACTGTATATGAGATCCTGAGCCACTGCGTTTATGCATTTTTAATAGCTAACAATTTTTTCAGTAAGGCTGGGCATATTTAAGTGAATGAGCCAAGCATTCAGGGCTCCTCACAATCACTACTGTATAAAAAGCACCAAAAATTCGGAACTGTGCCTTAAAGAATTCATAAACAGTAAGTGTCGGAAAGAGTAGCATTACTGCTGACAAAGTGCAGCGAAATAATAAATGAAAATGGGGGTTGGAAGAAAAAAGAGAAATAGAACAGTGGAATATGTTCATTTATAGCTCGTGCTTGGGTCTGCGGTCACTGGTCTGGAAATAGTAATCTATTTGAGTCTGCGATCACTGGTCGAGTCATTCATCTTATATGAGGCATAAAAACTGCCGCCGAAATTACAAAACTAGTCTTAACATGAAACAATAAGGCTTCAAACATGAATTTAGGTTGCCCCGCCAAATTACTTGAACTGATCTTTTAAAATTTCCAGTTCCGACAATCTTAATTTTTCCAGTTAAAAAGTTGGCTCAAATTTGTCTTCAAAGCCATAGCTGTGAACAAAAAAAAAACTGAAATTAACCCAAGCATACGACCTAATATTTTATATGAGAGCTGCTGAAACTACGAAATCATAGCTTCAGTAGTTCGTGAGCTACACTCTCGGTCATGTATACAATAAATGGACAGGAAGCCATAGGATTAACAAATGAATCTTTGCAAAAACAATCTGCAAAAAAAAACGCCTACAAATGCGATTTAATCAAAAATTTCAAAATTACCATGATATGCAAATTGAGAATCCAAGTCAAACGTCCATCAGCAGTTCTGAGAGCATCGTTAGTGCAAAAAGCACCCTGCGACACAAGTTGATTGATAAGAGCCGTGGCATCGTCGACAACGCTCTGAAGCAATTGCAAGAACGTACACAAAAAAGAAATCGCTTTTCCTAATGTTCTGCTTCAGACAATAAATTTTACAATGACGGCTGCAGCACGCCCCCTCCCCACTCCTTCGCTCCTGCGCCATCGATAGCGCTGATCTTCCCATAGCAGAGTAATAAAAATTTTTATGAGATAAGTGTTTACGTGTGTGGATCGCTGTGTGGCATGGTATTCCGAGCGTACGCGCACTGTAGAGAAGCAAAATCAAGTTTATGACTTACTGATAATAAATCGTACAAAC